TATGAGTCTTGTGTCCTGAGCACATTACTGTACGGCTGCGAATCCTGGACTCTCTATGCTCCACAGGAAAAAAGACTGAATACCTTCCATATGCGCTGTCTGAAACGCATCCTTGGTATGTTATGGCGAGACCTTGTCTCCACCGAATGTGTGCTCACAATAGCAAAAACACCATCAATGTATTGTATACTGAAGCAAAGACGTCTGCGCTGGCTGGGATATGTCACCCGCATCGAGGATGGTCGTATTCCAAAAGATCTCCTATATGGTGAATTGGTGACTGGGAATAGACCTACAGGAAGGCCAAAGCTGCGCTATAAAGATGTATGCAAACGTGATCTAATAGATACCAACATAGGCACAGAGACATGGGAAAAATCAGCTGCAGATCGACTACTATGGACACAGAAAGTGAAAGACGGACTGTCCCATTTTGAAAGAAACCGAACACAACGAGCTTGGAGAGGAGGCACCGGAGAGTAAAACTGCCTCACAACGAGGGAGTATCTGCTTTTGTGTGTATCCTATGTGGCAAAGACTGCCATTCCCGCATCGGACTTGACAGTCACAGCAGATGCTGTTCCCAAAGCCAGCGGCACATCTCCATAGTCCCCCGGGACTGACGGATGCCATTACTATTATTTCAGTGTACAAATTGAAAAAAAAAAAAAAAAAAGGTGATAGTACACATTACTGTTTAATGCCTTGTCTATTGTCTTGAACAATTCCCACTTGGTTGGCATTTCTTATGGCTGTTTCTTGTTGCCAGTATACTAATGTCTTCAATGTTTCACTTTATCGAATGCTTTGATATAATTACCAAAGCCAAATGCGGATCGCTGCTCATTTCAGTAATTGTTTCTTTAAGTGTTTTCAAGATGAATAAAGCAGAGTTTGTTCATTTATTTTCAACAAAACCATACTGTTTTTCTCCAGTTGTTGGTTTTATTTTGCACCGTAAACTTCTCATTTTAATTCTCATTAATATTTAAGTTATATGACTCATCCCAAAAAAAAAAAAAAAAAAAAATCCCGTGTTTTCAACAATCATGTGTTTTTAGGTAAAGGTGTCAAAATAGAATTTTGAAGGTCCCCGGGAATATATCCAGTGGTAATTACACCATTCTACATAATTAGCCTGTTCTTAAGCAGTAGTCGATCACCATATTCCAGTCTGGGGTAAACATTAGAACCTAGGGTAACTTGAGTGTGTTTAACCTCGAAAGTCTGAATGTAGGCGGCAGTTGGAAGGAATTGTGTCATGTGAAGGACCACCAATATTGAAAGCACAAGCTGATATACACAAGAAGAAATTCACATTCTCAGGATCAGATAGCATAATTTTTCTTCTTTTTCTTTTTTACTGTTTATTCCCCAGTGGAGCATAGGCCTTCCACTATCATACCTCTGCCATGGCGAGCAGCTTCCTTAATGTCCTCAATGTCGTGTGTATGTGCTCAACTAAGGCCGCTGTGTCTGTGCTTGCATATTCAGTGACAGTGTTGTCCATGTCCTTGCGAGCATCTTGGTCTCTGTCATGGACACTGCCCACGTAGCCAAAGAAGAATAGTAAACCAATAGACAACTGGTGTTGTTAGCCGCTGAGGGAAATGCTAAAGATGGGTTCCCATTGCTTTTGGACTTGTCCAGTGTGCTAGGAAGTCGATTTTCTAAATAACTAACTTGGCTCTCCTCTGGCACTACAGACATATCTTGCTGGGAAAACATGGAAACCATCGAAATAGCTCAAATAATAGTTGAAACTGTTTATTTTCATTCTTACTATCATTTCACAACAAAGAGCGCGTTTACGTGTGTGTGTGTTGTAAGTAAAGTCACGACAACTTAATTCATTTCACTGGAATTTATCCCACAGTGTTCGGTCTCATTTCGCTGAACGGCTTGCGGCCTGTTGAAAACGTCAAACAAAATACAAATAATGTATCTCCAGCGATGACCTCCAGGGGTCTCCGTAAAATTGAACTCATAACCGAACGAGGCCACCGTGACACAGATCCGGACCTTGGCAGCGCGAGCAAAACGGCTTGACCACTTCGCCACTGGGGACCACCCATTTTACTAATAACACGCAACATAGGAACTAATAACAAGCAACATAGGAACTAATAACAGGCAACATAGGAACTAATAACAGGCAACATAGGAACTAATAACAGGCAACATAGGGACATAGGAAAATCTGACGGCAAGCCAGTCTGTTCTGAAAGTCATTAGCCTTGTTACCCCTGGTGAAAATGTGCTTGATTAGTTTTTTGTTCTAAACCAATATATTTATAGGCTGTAGGGTTTTGTATATTGTGTATGTATATTGTGTATGTATAGGTGGATGTGTGTATGTATAGGTGGATGTGTGTATGTATAGGTGGATGTGTGTATGTATAGGTGGATGTGTGTAAGTATAGGTGGATGTGTGTATGTATAGGTGGATGTGTGTATGTATAGGTGGATGTGTGTATGTATAGGTGGATGTGTGTATGTATAGGTGGATGTGTGTAAGTATAGGTGGATGTGTGTATGTATAGGTGGATGTGTGTAAGTATAGGTGGATGTGTGTATGTATAGGTGGATGTGTGTATGTATAGGTGGATATGTGTAAGTATAGGTGGATGTGTGTATGTATAGGTGGATGTGTGTAAGTATAGGTGGATGTGTGTATGTATAGGTGGATGTGTGTAAGTATAGGTGGATGTGTGTAAGTATAGGTGGATGTGTGTAAGTATAGGTGGATGTGTGTATGTATAGGTGGATGTGTGTAAGTATAGGTGGATGTGTGTAAGTATAGGTGGATGTGTGTATGTATAGGTGGATGTGTGTATGTATAGGTGGATGTGTGTAAGTATAGGTGGATGTGTGTATGTATAGGTGGATGTGTGTAAGTATATGTGTAGTTCAAAGAACAAATGTGGGGAATACAATTTGATGAGTGTAAACAGAACATGCATACTTTTGATGTCTCTGCACGAAGCGACACCTCTTGGAATGTCAATGAAGAACATAAGAAAGCCGAGAAAACAAATGACATATGTTTCACATGGCGAATACTCCCGTGTGGGTTCCGAGGCCCTACTACAGGTAAAAAAAAGAATAGACCCACTGCCTACCCAAAAGCATGTCGTAAGAGTCGACTAATTGGGAGCTTTCTTCGAAGGAGTGCATCTGCCTGAGAGGCAAGGAACCAGCAGTCTGCATACAAATGAGTCAGATTTGTTAAACGGATGCACACGCAACACTCAGGTTCTGGAACAGGGCTGCAGTCCAAAAGTAGATGAACAGTTAGAACTTTCCGCTAGTTTACAGCTGGTGAACGTAAAGAAGAAGATATGGTGAATGGGATAAATGGTGCTGAATGATTCGAAGACAGCGAGGACACCGAAAGACGTCCTCATTAGGGCTGACCCAGAACACTAGCAAACGAGATATGAGGAGAAACGTGAACGCAAATGCCCCTAAGCAAGGCACATAATGATATTACTAATGATGAGAAAGTCACGTCTGGTGTTACATGTGAACACTGTGCAGGAACAGCTCCTATGTGGACCTGCTGGCCTGCCATGCCGTCACGGGAGGCACGGAACTAAGAGTCGTCCATGATGCACTGAAAAGAAACAATATAAGTGCTGTTATGATTCACGATGACATTATAAGCCTTTCCTCTCACATTCCAAACTAGACATCATCAGTCAGCAAGTCCTTTACAGGACGTCGCTCTCTTTACGGCACGCCTGAAAGTATTCCTTTCACTAGCCAGCTCTCCGGTTCCATGTGCTTTCAATGCCAATGCATCTTCAATGTCTTGTATCCATATTCGCGGTGGTCGACCCCTGCCTCGCCTTCCACAAACTGCACCTTCCATCACCGTCTTTTCCAGGCCACCATGCCGCTTGATGTGGCCAAAATACCTCAACTTTCAGGGCAGGATGCTGTTTATAAGCAAGTTCTCCTTGATGTTCAACTCGTTCAAAATGTCGAGGTTTTTGCCTCTTCCTGATCCATGGTATTCTAAGAATTGTTCTATAACATTTCAGTTCAAAAGTTCCAATCTTTTTCCTTATTGACCGAGTGAGCTACTTCCTAGACATCCTAGCCACAGTAAAAAACAAAAATGTATCCCACGCATGGGTTTTGTTACAGGGATCGTTTGATAGTTTCATGAAGCACACCTAGCTTACATGACTGTTTGCTGACCTCAGCTGTTGACACTGTCCAAACACACATTTACTGACCTCAGCTGTTGACACTGTCCAAACACACATTGACTGACCTCAGCTGTTGACACTGTCCAAACACACATTGACTGACCTCAGCTGTTGACACTGTCCAAACACACATTGACTGACCTCAGCTGTTGACACTGTCCAAACACACATTTACTGACCTCAGCTGTTGACACTGTCCAAACACACATTTACTGACCTCAGCTGTTGACACCCTCCAAACACACATTTACTGACCTCAGCTGTTGACACTGTCCAAACACATATTTACTGACCTCAGCTGTTGACACTGTCCAAACACACATTTACTGACCTCAGCTGTTGACACCCTCCAAACACACATTTACTGACCTCAGCTGTTGACACTGTCCAAACATACATTTACTGACCTCAGCTGTTGACACTGTCCAAACACACATTGACTGACCTCAGCTGCATACAACCATGTAGTGCCAGGATCTGAGACGGAACACATATAGGCTCTCTTCCACAGAGCAGTCTGTTCCTGGGATTGTCAGGGGCTGTCTCTTCAATGCAGTGATGTACCTGAGGGTTTGCTCAATGTCTATCTCTTTGTGTGATGGTCCTGCTGGAATCACTCGCTAACTTTGCTGGACTGTTATCATTTGCTGCCTAGTCTTTATACGTCTGGAATTAGATGTATGTTTGTTGTTGTCTCTATGAAGGTGATCATATATATATATATATATATATTATATTATATAGCAGTGGTTATTTCTGCGCACAGAAGAGGTGCACACTTACCAGACACAGCCAGACAATGAGCCAGGGCCAGAAGAACAAGCTGATAATGCAGTGCAGGCAGTGATTCACCCCACGTCTGCAAACAATCAGCAATATTTGTTGAAACCGTAAAAGAAGAAAGTATCAGATGTCTTTCACGGGACAAGTTGCTATACTGGCCGTTACATTGTGAGAATTAAAAATATAACAAAAATAATAATAACAACGAACTGAATGTTTTGCAGTCTAAACTATATAACCGATACAGAACTTTGCCCACGCATCATTTCTCAACAGATCGATGGGTATCCGCGGTGAGATGGAGATGGGCTGGGTCCGAAGACAGTGGTTGGAGTCTTTGATGCGGTCGGCGCTGACATATATCAGTTTCATATTTCTGCCAGGGCACGCAGGTGTGCAAGGAAATCAGCAGGCTGATAGGCTTGCAGGTAAAGCTTCTGTGGAGGGCGGACGTGCCATGGGCCATTCTGATATAGTGACTGCTCTACAAGAAGTCAGACGTTTGTGAGAACCAGGTGATGACAGACTCTGCGTCCATCGCTAGACTGCAAGAACGGCATGTTAAAAGAGGCGTGGCCAAACAAGGGCATTATGCAAGAATCCAGAGAAAAATAAAAAAACAAGACAAGACTGGTGTCGTCAGCCACTGAGGAGGGGGTCCGATCACTTATGGACTGAATGGTTTGATGTGCCCTGTCTACTAAGTAATTAACTTTAGTTAACATCAACCCTGTTTAAATTAGTCACTCCGCCAGGTTCAAATTTTGCGACTTGCCTACATTTGTCTTCCGCTCTAAAATCAGGTGATGCTTACAATAAATATATTACCAGAACCGCTTTTCTCAATCTGTAATTGTTCCATTGTTGACAAGTGGTACACTAAATTACACAAATTTAATACTTTATATTTTCATAGAGAATTTTTATAGCGAATCTCTTTGGACAACGAAAAAGCATAATATGATTTAACAGAAGATTAGCTTCACAGGGTCAACACGAAAATACGTGGAGTATAAAGCTGTCCACAAAGGTTCATAAAAGTATTTAATATATTCGGTTCAAATAGAGCAGGTCTGTGGCAGGATTGTCTTGGGTCACTCCTGTTTTTTTGGGGTTTTTTTCAATCATGTTCCAGGTAAATTATACACACTTTCTAGAAAATTACAGCGTTTTACAGAAACTCGGTTCTGGAGCTTAATTCGTACTTAAACGCGTTCGGAAACCGTTACTCAGAAACAGAAAACATTTTCTCTACACAAACCAATGACAAATCGATTATTTCGTTTCTTACTCCAAATTGGAAACATCAAGGGCAAGTGGTAGACAATGATACGGATGGGAAGACAACATGAAGAGGCGGACGAACAGAAGTCTGAGAGAGTTTACAACCAAGACATAAGACAGGGCGTGTGTTGGAGATCCATTGCAGCCATCCTGCATTGTGGAAACGACATCTGATTGATTGACCCCATTTTACTGCTTGTACATTTCAATCTTTATCTAATACTTTGTGCATAAAACTATCAACAAATAAATTTGTATACAATCTTGTTACCAGAAAATGGACACAACTCGAAAAATTCTCGATGAAAATGTAGTTCTTCTCTGGAAGGAGAACTGATATTGTCAATAAAAGTATGAGGAACAAATGATGTCAGGTCTTATTTACTGCACATGGCATCCTCTCCAATAAAAGCATCGGGTAGCTTTCTGAGGGTTCTATATTTTTTTTTTCTTGAGTGTTTCTTAGCCCCATTCAGCTTTGCCTAGTCCTAACTAGGCCTCTGCTTTTCTAAAACATACTCAATGCGATTTATATTTATCTGCGTTTTAAAATCTGTCTGAAGTGCGACGTGAACAGATGCCACAATGATGTGAGAAGTTAACAGCTGCAACAATGATGTGAGAAGTTAACAGCTGCAACAATGATGTGAGAAGTTAACAGCTGCAACAATGATGTGAGAAGTTAACAGCTGCAACAATGATGTGAGAGGTTAACAGCTGCAACAATGATGTGAGAAGTTAACAGCTGCAACAATGATGTGAGAAGTTAACAGATGCAACAATGATGTGAGAAGTTAACAGCTGCAACAATGATGTGAGAAGTTAACAGATGCAACAATGATGTGAGAAGTTAACAGCTGCAACAATGATGTGAGAAGTTAACAGATGCAACTATGATGTGAGAAGTTAACAGCTGATGATGTGGTTTGCTACAGCTATGTCAGAGAGGTATCTTATAAAAGTGTATACCTCAACACTTCCCACACTTTTCATTGAATGAAGATCCAGGAACATCCTGCCTACATTCCTGTAACCCAGAAGAAATTTCCCCCTCCTTCTGAAATTGTTCCAGTTCTTTGCGGGTTAGCTAATTCCTGTAGTCCTAATACTTCCAGGTCAATAGTGTCAAGTTCACAGCCCATGCTTTGTCCAGAAACCGTGTCTGCTTCACAGTCCGGCTATAGTCATCTCTAAATTATGGCCATGCAAATTCACTAGCACTTTTGTCAAGGATGCCTAAACAACGAAGACTATGAAGTGATTTTTTTCTCTCCAGAATTCTCTGTGTCAGAGATCACTTTAAAACGTCCTTGTTTTCGTCCAGAATATATTAACGTTTCTAAAGACCTGTTGGTCATTGGGTCGGATTAGGGAAGTCGCCTACATCTCAGCCTAAAGAGTGTGTTTTCGGGGTTGTTCGTGAACCGAAGTATTATTCGGAAATCGAGATATTTCCCATGGAAAATTTGTTTAGAACTCGAACCTGCCCTAAAAAGGAGTCTTTCGAGAACCGATGCTTGGCTGCATATCGAAAGAGCAAGGACAAATGTAATCAACCCAGGAGTCAATTCAAGCGTAGAATCAAGCATATATATTTGTGTAACGTTGTAGACAATGATGACAGACACTATGGATGCGTTCAGAGTATACGATGGTCTTCCACAGTAGAAAAAATATGTGGAATTCTAGAGAGATCGGATCTAGCACTAAACAATAAAATTGTTGACACTAACGTCTAATCAGTTGTGCTGTAATGACTATGGAGGATTGGGGGGGGGGGGGGGGGGGGGGGGGGGGGGGGGGGGGGGGGGAGGGGGGGGGGGGGGGGGGGGGGGGGGGGGGGGTACAATTACGAAGCTTAAGAAAACTGAATAAGTCAGAAAACAATAAGGATAGAGGAGAATATTCTCAAAGTCGCACACCGAGAAGTCCGAGGAAGTCGAAGATCACCACAGAATTAGAAGATTGCAAAAGTTGGAGCACACCGCAAAGGCAAGGCAGTGAGGATGTCGGAGAACACTGCCAGAGCACTTAAAAAGTTGAAAAACACTGTTAAAATTAAACAATAAAAAAGTCGGAGGAAAAAAAAAAGAAAACAATGAGAACACCGCGGAATTAGAACTTGAGGAATGCTGGAGAACACCGCGGAAACAGAACATTAAGTCCGGGAACAATGTGGAAGTAGAACATTGTGGAACGGGAAAAAAACCCAGCAGAAACAGAATACAGCGAAAATAGATTACTAAAGAAGTCAGAGAA